GGTGGCCCGTCGGGTCCAAAGTTCACTTATCTGCATTGAATTATTGTGATCAAATTTCAGTTCGCCGGTCAGTCAACCAAATAACTTAACTAGGTTTTTAGGTAACTGCGAGCTATGTCTCATCATGAGTGCCACTGTGCGCTCAACCCTTCTCTCCTGTCTCTCATTGTTGTTCCTCATTCCCATTGCAGCATTATCAGGGAGGACTTGATCTGCACTGGGATCGATCACGATCGAACTAGGCCACTATCAACCCTCGAATGGTGGAACCAACGAAGGACAAGCCTACAGCCCTATTAGAGGAAGCTTATGGAGTCACCTCGTCCAAGGGGCAGATAGTTCGACGCCCAGATCGGGTTCTCATCGACAGCTGCTCTGGTAGGACTACTCTACAGAACCAAGCTGTGAGACTTTATTTACATTCAGTCGATACTGTTAGTCAGAACTGTTACCTAGCATTTTTGTGCTCGATACAGCAGCCTTCCTAACTTGATGGACTGTTTCTTGTTCGCGTTGGCAGAAGAATTCCTCTGGACAACCCTAGGTTGAAAGGTGGGCAAAATGAAGGCAGAGCCGTAGGACCTCGCATTCTACATGTTATTTCATTTTCGCTTTTTCATTTTCGTACCTACAACCTATCCCCATCAGCCCCATCCTTGTCAACCGCTTCTAACGGGTAGGTTGGAAGCTTACATCTTCAGTGCCAACCAGTGCCACCATCGAGCGACGTTCGCAATCAGAACAACCTCCATCCCTTTTTTAAAAACCTCCTTACGTTACAACTAAGACGGTTCAAAAACTTCCGGGTAATTGTGCCCCAGTCGTACAGAGCCATTTTTCCAAATCACCTTCTCAAAAATACTATGAGAAGTCACCAAACTTCGACACCGGCCCCTTCCTAATTCACAAAAACGACCTTCCTCGTGAGTTTTTAAATGATGGAACATGATGTTAAGCCCCAGTACTGTAGTACTTTTGCGTCTTGGGCCAAGAACACAAACCTAGTGGGCCTACTCAGGGGAGTAATCTATGAAACGTGTTCTTATTGTCAATCAAGAGGCTCGATTCTGATTCCCCTCCACCACCTTTCTGTTTGTTCTTGCTGTTATTTACCTTTTTTACCCTTCGGATTGGAAATGAATTAGATTTGGAAATAAAGAAATGGAAATGGATTTCAAATTGAGAGCTGCCTAGATTTCGTGTTGCTTATTGTAGGGTCAGCACTGAAGAATGCCGAAATAAACAAATGGTGAATGAAATGAAATAATCAATAGATAAATATAAGCACCATAAACACGGAAATCCCATAGACCATGCTCATTTTTCATTCAAGCGGAACTAGCGCTATTGAACCTATTGATTACAAATTTTCTAAGATTTCTGCTGTCATGGGAGAACTGCCAATTTGAAAGCCTGTAGTAAGCAAGCATGAGGACAAAGTGAGCCATATCGACTTGCAAATGATTACAAGTACCAAGTAATCTTTATGGAGAAATTACGATAGCTTTACAACATAAGACCGCTCACAAATCTACCTCTGATACAGAGTTACAACACATTATTACTGTGTAAATAAATCATCAGCAGAGATTGCAAGATGAACCGCAAAGGTGTTTCCGCTCCTCATTCGAGTACAGCTCGTCCTGGCAGAAACCATCTTCGACGAACTGTTGACAACTGCAAAAAAAATAGGTTTTCGAAAGCTTCGTTCATAGTCGGTGAGTTCGTTCATAGTCCCTACCTTCCGTGGAAAACGCGCGATTACAGTCAGCGGCAGGACGCATCGCGTGCCGCGCGCGACAAAAATTAGCGGAACTAGTGTGAACTGTTCGAATCATGCATTTTCGATAGAGGCGATATGTTTTATTGGTGCACAAAAGGGTTCTTTGACCTGTTTTCGTCACCTGAGCTTAACCTTCAACGGCTCCACCCCAATTCTAGTCTAACCTTGGTCAGAGTAAACTCTAGCCCAACTCTAGCTCGGCTTAACTTCAACTCTCATAGTGATGTGTTGTGTGTTTTTGCAGTAGGCACTACTTCTAAACACGCTTTTTCAATAAGCTGTGTATAGAATAAGTAAGTCAACACGTGCCACAATCTGCTAGCTCCACGAAAACGGAAGTAGTGCACCGTTTAATGACCAACCGTAATGTACGGCTCACACTCCATTACAAAGCTCCACTCAAAAAGTGCCGATTCTTAGCTACTGTTCACTGTCGGCAGCTTTCAAAAAACACTGAAGGCACGTCCCGGGATAGGACCAGTGGAGCAGTCCCTTCACTAGGTAGAATTGAGCTGTGAACGCCATTGACACCCGATAGGGCGCTAGGTCTTACCCATGCTGACCCAACTATACTGCGCTGTTGCCGGTAACTTATTCGGGCGCTGCCAGAAGGCGCTTTTCTGTGCCCTCGGACGGCGTGCTCTCTCGTTTTCTGTCTTCTCTGTTCGCGTCTGGATCTTATCGGTACGCACGTCCCGACCTTGAACAAGGTTTTTTGGACCATTAATTTCACCTATTCGAAGGTTTTCTTCGCGGCTGTTTCTACTTTCAGCCCACCTCCCACCTTGAGCGCTTTTGCACTTCTCTTTTACCGGGCTTGGCTTCATTTCCGTGAAAAAACGCTAACAGAAATGTATCTATTTGACGACGTACGGCGATTCCCGTAAAAGAAGAAGGGGAAGAAGCAGGTAAAGTCAAAGGTAAAAATTATCCGCTACGCGAACTTCACTACGATCATGTTGCGGACGGGTTCGCCCTATATAAGATCTTGATTGTTTTTGCTAACTTTAGGATTCTGATATCTTTCCCACACAAGATCAAATATTTAAAAAGCAACTCACTTTTTGTGCCTGTCTTTGCAAACTGGCGTGCAAAGATTGCAAGATTTAGCGCACGAATCCTTCATCATTTGCTTGTACTTTGAATGGGTGCACAGGTTAAGATGAGATCGGCAATCGGGTGTAATATCGAAGCAGTCAGCTAAAAAGTAACTGTATCACAATTCATAAATCAATCGATAAAACCAGATAGATCACGTAAGGCATAAGGCCCTATTCACCTACAGCGAAATGGACCTTACCCGTGCAGTGGCACTAACCTTGGTCACCCGAAGCAGGACTTTTTTCCATCTAGGACATGGGATGGGCTAGCATGCCAATAAACATAAGACTATCCAAAACAAATCGATTTGAAATGCCAGATCAATCCAGAGAAGGTCCCAACCCTCTATTCAGTTTTGTGTAAACCCAACCCTGACCCAATCTCCGACCCATATCTTATCATCTTTAACGTGGCCCACAACTCGTCCAGAATAGGCGTGTCGCTTACATGAGCACGAGGAGCGGCCAATAGAATCGTCCGAGAGTGCGTCGCCGCTCGCGGACGACGCCGATCGGACGGCCGCGCGACGTCGCAACGCGGCACATTTGGGATGGCGCGGCCCAATTTCTGAATTTGACCACAGAGCCCACGATCATTCTAACTTAGAAAGGGATGGTGGATGTGGTAGTCGCATCACAAAAATCCAAATGAGGCGCGCGAAATCGTCCGCTTACAGTCGCGACGTCGCAACCACGACCATTAGCGAGAGGCTCTGGACGACTCTGTTGGCATACACCCCATTAGCGTGGGCTGTGCGACTGTTTCAAAAACCTTACACCAATCAGTAACGAACTTGACCACCGTATTCTTCCTTAATTTCAACGTCATCACATCGCTTGCATGTGAGAGTGCAGTGCCGGGCCATTACGTCACCGAACGTGGGGTCCATGCATAGGACGAGAACTCACGACAGTAGGTGTACTCGTCCAGGCATTTCCCTAAAATTCACCATTGATATAGCTGTTGAATTAGTGATTACGGTCATCACCTAGATTTGTCTGATGAAAGCAGAAATAATTGAATTTGTCACCTTTGATGAGCGTTTTCGAGAGCGACACTGTGAAGGACTCGATGTCGGCAGTAGTAATTTGAGGTAACTTGGCCTGGAATGGCTAATTCAGTTGAGCCCCCTTGGAAAACACCTGTGTTATTTATATTGATTATTTCTCGTAAACAAATATAAATTCCAAATGGGATGATGCAGTTACATGGCTTGAAAAAAGTGCAGGCGGCTCTAAAAGTGGAAGGCCGGCCTCTTGCCTATAAATCCCCTCTAAGAAATTCTCGGGTAACATTTTTTAAATCTCATTTTTTGGTGATGAAAGGGAAGAAGCTTTTATTGCTCTACAATTGTTTTTTGAATTTTTTCCTCCATTCTAAGGAAGAAATCATTACAACAAAACCATGCAAGCCAATGATTCCTTATTTCGCTGCAATGATACCGCTCAATTCGCCAAATGGACTTAGTGGCTTAACTTATTTACTAACGATTTTCTCACCTTGGAATTCATCAGCTCCTCCAGCTTCACTTTTCGAACCTCGTAGGACTCCGTAACAGGCACGATTGACACATTGTACACAGCTTCTGTGATATTTTCAACCTGAAATACCGGTATGACGTCGCATGAGATCGTAGGTGGGATCACTGTGGGCTAACCGTTTGTGGAGGTGTAGTTGATCTGTTCTTATTTCTCATATACTCGAGCAGTTTCTTGTTGGAACTCGGCGGTGGGACAAATGGTTTCGTTGGAGAAACGCTGAAATGAAGTTGGTGGAGGATGTTCAAATCACATTCACGATTTCCTTTTTCCTTCTTCACCCTCTACCAGTTTCTATCCTACTTGAGTTCCTCTTAGTCTCCAATCACAAGTCTCCTTAGAGATCCTCTTCCATAATTGCCGCGTTTCTAGTCACGGTACACGACTGTCACCTCCGAAACAGTCTCATTACCCACCCTGGGTAACTTTCACCCATACCAATAACTATCCATCAGAATGCGTGACCGTTATTAAAGATGAATTAAGGTCACCCACTTCGTCCATATATCGTACCTAAGCAATGCGTATAACATGGTATTCAGAATTACATATATCGCCCATAAGGACTTTTAGGTGACCTTTCAGGCGATGGACATACGCCCTTAAGGACTTTTGCATTGTAACTCAAATTTCTCAAAGGCAGTGAACACGGTGGCTGGAGAGCGAAGCGGCTTTCATGACGCCAGTAGGAGTCGTTCATGGACCAATCCACTCAGCGCGCTAGATGGATCACCTCCTAACGCTCTTTCACCACTCACTGACGTCATCAAAACCGCTCCGCCTTCTGCCGATCCGCGTTCATTGCCCTGATTTCAGTGTTTATTTGAGACACTTCTACTTCATGTTTTGCTGCGGATCCGCTCAATTTCTTTTCATCTCTTTACTCCTTAATTCTCAGTGCTACTTGAACTTCTGTCTTTGTTACGTACCCCTGGACCTTGGAAATTTGTTACCTCGTTTCATTCACTGGTAGCTTCACCACCATCACTGTTCCTGAAGGCTTACCAACGCCCATCGAATTCCTAGTCGCATTTGATCGGGTTTCTGAAAGAGTTTTGAATTATCAATACGATGATATCCGGGTATCTTACTTTTGCCCCTGCTTACTTGGATGGACTAACAGGTGAGCTCTCATAAATCAGAGCTCTTATAGTTAGTTTAATTTTGAACTTCGTAAAATGATCTTTTCCATCTCTAAGTCTACACATAAGTGAATGTAGCCACAGTGAATACCTATTGGAGTCATTGCAAGATAAGAATGCCCTGTAGGTATCCAAAAGTGAACTGTAACCGGACAGTGCAGCGGCTTCAATAAGTGTTTAGGCGGCGTTCATACTCAATATTTTTTTCCTGTTGCTCTTACAAAAAGGCCTATACCGGAATAGGAGCTTATCTGGGGCGGTGTTACCCGGAGCTCCACCTTCTGGGCTCCAGCGGTGATGGAAATCTCAACGTATCTGCTGGAAATCCAGTGAGTGATGAGAGAGAGCACTCGTTGGTAGGCTTATCCTCAGTCCCGAGACACCAGCCCTTCGGCTCTCTAGATTATACTAAGGATAGATAATATGATGCTGCTAAACGAACTTCAGTGAAGAGGAACTTTTCATAGAACCGATTGCCTGTCCTACACTTCCAACCCGCCGTTCCGCACTTGCGCTCTCCGATATTGTGCAACATTTCTATCACCCTGGAGCTCACCACCCTAAGCCGCAGGCCTAAGCACCGCTGGTTCAGCGACCGTTTTCTTGAAACCTTTGCTGATAGAATACATGTAGGCATTAGAAGTACTCTACACTTTCACCTGTACTTATCAAGAAGTACACTTTAAAGTGGTTGGTCAATGTGCACCAGCGCCTCTCATTTCCTATATTGAGCACCTGGAGAACACAATGTACAAGTGCGCCCTCCTAACTAGATTTTCGCCCGTGTCTTCGTATTCTATGTATTCCTTCGCTCCGTTACAAGATTGAACTATTTCTTTCCGCAAAGGAAAAGAAGTGTTTGAAAGCTTATTTCCATGAAGGCTTACCTTTCTTTTGATTTGATGTTGCCGGCATTACTGTGGTAAGCTTCTTCTCTGATGGGAACACGCATTTACGACCTGAACGTCATTAAAATCATGGTCCACTTGATTAACCAATAATCGATAACTTGGTATAGCAGACATATAGCTAGTTCACCGCTAATCTACTTTTTTTTTACTTTTTGGTACACATCCTTTCCGAGGTTCTGACTAAGTCTTGCTCCACGGCACGTGCCCTTTCTATTCGGTCTTCTGCCAGTCCTAACGGAGATACATCCTTTTCATTCCCTACTGCCGTATCGATTGCTACGAGCTGTCAGTTCAATTGTATAGATTTTGATGTTATTTATTTATTTATTTATTTATTTATTTATTAAATACTCATAAGAGTGCCATTGTTGTCTAGCACATGGTCAAGGCAGAAACAGTAAGAATTGAATTAAAAGTATAAGTAATGGTAAAAAGCCAAGCTGAGGAAACCGTCCGAAGCCACTGCCATAACGGCAAACATGATTATTGGTAGGAGAGGGTTTATGCAAGACAAATGTTCCAATAGTTCGATTTGATGGCCATTTTTGGGGACTCTCCTCACTATGCTATAACTATTTTATGACCGCTTTCTCTCCACTCAACTACCAACCATTTCTCAGACATACTCCTCAATTTCTATCATAGTCATAAGGCTCTTATTCGGAGTAATGCAGTTGTATGTCGCGGCGATGTACCTGTAGCAGTAGAGTGAAGTATTCGTTTGCAATGCATCTCTTGAGATATGTGAATTTGCAAAATGCATTTTTGAATTCTGTAATGGAACCGTTGAATAATCCATTTTCAGTGATGCCGCAGGCCTCTTTATTTGAAATCATGTGTTACACAAGGAGAAACCGAAAGCTCACTCCTGAATGAATTCAAAGACTTCAAAATACCCCAAAAGTTCTTGGAAGCTGTTAACAAATTTGGTGGCGAGTGATCGCTCTATCTCAGCTAGTGTGGTGAAGCTATCCCGGCAGGGTAAAAATAGGTCGAGGAAACGACAACGGCTCGTCGAGGATTCTCTTCTGTTCGGTCACGCTCTTCCTTCCACTGATATTCACTTCTCGCCCACCACGGACCGTCTGTGCCCCGACGCGTATTTTCTCTCGACACCATTCTGCACACAGCGAGAGAGCCCTGGTACAAGGGAATTCTCGACCTATCTCCAACCTAAATCCCATGGGCCCTGTCCAGGAAGGGCGAGCTTAATATTTTCAAACTTATAGGTCCTTTTGGGCACGCTATCGCCGAACCTACCTAAACTTTCTTACTCCGTTCTCAAGTACAGATTACTAGCTTCCTGAAGTGTTTACTGTCTCTGTAGGAATTGTCTACTTACGCCAAGTTTATGCCGAAATCGTAGACCATTTGGAAGACGGATTTCGGTGACATTTGACGGCACCTCTGCTGAAGTTGTTTGTGGTGGAGTATGGCACAGATTGCAAGTGGCCGAGCAATCTCGTCTTCATTATCAACGGCGTGTTCTAAAACATGAATTGAAAATTATTACGTCTATAAGTAAAACCAGCCATCTTAGAAAAGCCTGTCCTCTGCGGATGCGCCCTGCCTCGCTTTTCCGCAAGAAATCTCGAGTATGTCAATAAAATTGAACATATATATATACAGGGGGGGGGGCCAAAAAAAAGAGTCACTTTGCCTATGGCGCATATCATCAAACTTTTCGTCGCAAAGGATGCCGCTGTTATTGGGAGTTATACGGCAAATTATTCCTTAGATGTCCCCCCATAAGCAGAATCAGGCCCACCTTCGCTGCGTTCACCGTCTCCAGAATATGACGTCATCTGTCATCACCGTCGAGCTTAAGGAGGCCTACAATAATCGCTCCATTCTGAAGCTGCTACATAAATTCTTCAATCGGATAACTGGTGAATGACTTCTTAGAGACACTAGCTCTGACTATGCAAAATGGCTTTTGACCAGCGTTTCAGAGACGTCGCAATCATCTATGGTTTCTCGACGACCCCGTTGAGCTCGTACCGCGAACCATGTTTCCGTGGGAAAATCTTCTGGTGTCGTCGGTTTAGAAGGCCACTATGCAATGTTTTTGATAGAATAGAATGTGCTCTTCAATATGCAATTGAGCTCATTCGGTTTGGTTTTGGCAAAGTGTAATTAATTCTGTTTTGAATGTGAGTAGGAGTGACTCTTTTTTTTGCCCCCCCCTGTATGTTATTTAAACTTGCAAACTCACCTGGAGCATTGCAAAAGCTCTTCACAAACCCGACAGAACAGGCCATAATCTTCACAGGGCGTAGGATCTTCGAAGAATGAAATTGATTAGCTTTAAAAATTAATACCAATTTATTGAAAACATTTTTATGACTGTGTAATGCTGTGAATTTGACTGTGAGACATTCTTAGTACGCTCATCAGATCACAAGTAATAAAAATGTTATTAGAGCCTAAACAGGGTTATGATTACTATGGCACATAACCCTCGTTTTCAGGAAGGCACTACGCCAAGGTTTGAGCTCGGTTTCGAAATGTAATGGCTATACGACCTCCGTCCCCTCGGGCTGATCGCCATTTCTATGAATCAAATAACTCATCTCCGTCTCTAAATCCCACCCCCTCTCTTCCATCCTATCTGAATACAATCCGACTTTCGCATAATTAATGTCGTTGAGCGCGGAATAGAGCACGATCAAAACAAGGAAATTTCCGGAATTCCACAACCGCAAAACCGGGAAAGCTTTCACTGATTAAATCCACTCAGCACTATCCCCCTTAGCGAGCAGATTGCGGACGTGTGTTTAGGTATCTTTGACAATAGCTCACTCGGAAACTGATCTCTCACACTTTTCTCAACAAATCGACAAGGAAGCCAGCATGGTTTGCATCACACCACGTTCTTTCGACAACGGGGGGGGGGGTCCATTGAAGTGACAACGGGTACAGAGAACCCACTTTGCCTTCTCTTCACGGACGAAGGAGTATTCAGTGCATATGAACCACGGCCAAAGAGAGCAGCACCCAGTGAGAACGATTTGGGTTTAGACGCCTCTCCCACTAATCACATGAACATGCTTACCCTCCCTATGTACTTTGAGGATAGAAATGATTGATAAAGAAACCCGTTTTATAAAAAATAAAGGATAAAGCATTTGCCGTTGATCAATCCCTTTTTGGGATGCGGCACGCATTCTACTTACATTCGCAGTGGCGTTTGAATGCGATGTGGCCTATACAATGACTTGCGGGGGCCAGCCGATGTACAAGTCAGTGTTTTTATCCTCCCAGACAAGTCTGGTACCAATTAACCGACCCCGGAGGGATGGAAGGCTTGGTTGGCCCGGGCGACTCACGACCCAGGATTTGATCCCCGGACCGCTCGCGTGGTAAGCGTGCCACTTGCCACTACACCACTTCCGCCCCATCGTATATATAAATTAAAAATAGCAAAATGTAATCTTTCAAAGAATCGAGAACGATTTATACCTCTTGCTAGGACTGCAGTGGAGTTCTTGGAAGGTAAACAGAGAACATTTTGCGCCAAAGCAAAAACGAGAACTACTGCTAGAAGCATCGCCTGAAATATATCGTAATCATCGGTTGCTTTCTTATCTAGAAAAACAGCTATGGAAAGATAGGAGGTAGAGAGGAATTATTCATGAAGAGAAACGAGGAAAAACGGTACCACCGTGTACCTTGCAGTACCCTTGTCGGGAAAAATCTGCTTAGAAGTTCTACAGTTCAGTCCTTCTTGCGAAATGATGTCCAAGGGAAGGATAAGAATAGTATCAAACCAACATATAGCACTGGTCAGTCCGGATGATGACTTTATAGACAGTCGTGCAGGTGTGTCAATTGTTGAACCTTGTAGAGGACCATCTGCTGCTCTCCCGTGTTGTTTGAACAAGCTCCATTGAGGCTCAAACCAATATAGTTCCATGGAAGTGTACATAACCATTCCTGTGGCTACATATAATCGAAAGGATCAAACCATAGAATTTTGCGGTGAACTGAATGGTATAATGGGAGCTCACCTGGCATTCCTCTTTACTCAGGGTAGTTCGAGAGATTATCGAACACCAGCTCGAGTAAGCTTTTAACCATCTGAAATGTCGACGCTCATCTGAATGGGATCATCTGAAAAAAAGCTTTCGCATTGTTATCACAAATATGCTGGGTTATGGGCTAAACTCTCCAAGCTAGGATCGAACTTGCACCTCTCGCTTACCCTGCAGTGCACCCGATACCTGATTACTTACTAATTTTTTTGGTACCCATTCGCGACCGCGCGGATTGCGCAATAGCAGGAGAGTCAGGAGATTTTTCTTCAATAAAATTTGAGTGGATGGAGATTTTCCCCTGCCAAGGGCTGGCGTAGATGAATGAGGGTATGAAGATTCTTTTCAGGAAAGAAAACTTTCCAAATTCATTTGAAACACGGCAGCCACTCACGCTAAGTTTTCTGGAGGCGCTATTTCAGCTACTTCATTTGAGTACCTATTAGAGCTACTGATTGTCAGACCGAGCGAAGGTACTTACCATGGGGATTGGTATGGCAAGCTCTTTCACAACATGGCGTGCGCGCTATTGAAACTGTATTTGGGTGGTGAGATTTCTTTTAGCTAAAAAATCCACACATCGACATCCCAATACTCCAGTGTGCGAGACGTGACATTTTGTGGTGAGAAGGAGTCTCAACAGATTGCCGTCAACTGGACAGAGCCAATTTATCATGTTGCAAAGATGACTAATGTTGAACATCTCCACCGATTTGATGGATGTGAAAAAAAATTGCTTACGAATCCTACGTGCGATGATCCGACCAACCCCGAAGAACGAATCTGACCCTCACGTTTTTTTTCGCTTTCCCATCATTTCTTTGCTTGACTTTTCAGCACGGCCACCGGTGATGAAAAGGGATAGTGCTATAAGCGCCATGTCCATGTGACTCCATCAGTGTGGAAGTTACTACCAGTAGGATACCAAATGGATTAAATTAAGGCCTGCAAAAGTGCCAACCATCAGAATATGTCAGGAAAATTTTCGAAAACAATCAAATATTTTTCAGCATTTTGGAAAAGAATTTCGACTTAAACTGCCACTTTACATTCAGAATTCATTGATCATATTGAATATGGAAGACCTGAGCTGATATTGATAAGATAGGCTCTGATTCGAAGAAGAAAGTTGACGAAAGGAAAAGAAGAAAAACGAAGACAAATTAAAAGGCAAAGGGCTACTTCGATTTGCAGAAAACGATGAACAATCGATAAATGGCTCCAGTTGGTCATGTTTAGTGATCTGCGCTGCGGCTATAAAAATAAATAATGAAGCATAAAGTCTTCGGTATTGATCAATCCTCCTTTCAGAATGCGCCACGCATTCTACATTCATTCAGAATCATAGTGGCACTTGAATGCGGTGCGAGCCATGCAATACTTGAGTGAGCCACTCGGACGCATAAGCCAGTGTTTTATTACTTCCAGACAGGTGTGGCACCTGTTCATGGATCCCGGAGGAATAGAAGGCTTGGTTTCCCTAGTCAAGGTTCGATCTGCGCACTCCAAGCGTGTAGGAAGTGCGCCACTCGCCTCTACACCTTCTCCTCTCAAAGAAGATGATAGAATAGAGGTTTGGTCTACTTCATGCACAATGTAATGTGGGAAAGCGAAGACGAAATGGTTCACGAACTTCGGAGTTTTTTCTCCAACCAACAGTCGGGTCCATTGTGCGCGACACGAGTCATTGCATCACATGCCTCCTTTCGATTCATCAACTCTTGAGAATGGAAATTATTGGCACAGAATAATTTCAATGGGATTCGCCACGCCTTCAACTCCAACTACAAATCATGGAAGTGTTAGGGTAAATCGTGTTTCGAAGCATTTCAGCAGGGTCAGTTGCATTTTTGTAGACAATCAGCTTCTTCAAGCAATGCAGCTGCGATATACTTTGTCTGTCTGAGCGAGATTTGAAGACGACGTAAGGCTGACTGGTGCGACAGTTAATTAGGACAAAAAAATGACCATGGTTAGGTAGTGGGAGCAAGAGATTTAAATTGCGTCTTGGCCACTCATTGTGACCGGATCGGCTGCGTTCCTCGACAGCTGATATTCTGGATTATCAAATTGGAAGGATAAGAATCCGAGTAGCACTATGTAGACAAGTGGTGAACGTGGCCAAATTTTAACCCTACATTACGTAAACGACAAGGACAAGAACCAAGAAGTGTTATGGGATGACGTGGAGGGCGCTAACCCCTCCACGTCAACTCACAACACTTCTTGGCGCTTATCGCTCGCTTATCGCTGAAATACGCTCGCTATAGGCCTCCAAAATGTCGATTTGCTTTGTAAGAAATCAATACCACACATTCACACATCCATGGCGAATTCATTCTCATAGGGCACTCCGCATATTTGGCACGTCAGATCGCATGAGCTGCAACTTTTTCGCAAGTTGGGTGGCGGGGTGGGGGAGGAATACGCGGCGGCGCGGCGCTCTACTTTCCTGCATCTCTGAGGCTTATTCTGCGGTGCCACTGTATTTCGAAGCCGCAAGGGTGCAGTGAAATGTAACTGTCCTTGTGACCATTCCTCAGAGGTGCATACGAACAGGAGGCCTCGCGCCCCTCCCCTCCCTCCAATAAGTTAGCTCTTTTCGAGAGATGTTGCAAGATCAATTTTCAGAGTTTCGAGAAATAGCTTACTCGAGTGATGACTAATTTTTATTATTTTTTATTTTATTTTCAATTTAACGAATTGAAGCCCTGTTTGAAAACCTCGCAAATATAATTTTTCGAAATACGGCGTAAAAAAGAGATGACGAGTGGTGGAATTCTGCTGACCATCTAACAGCCCAATGAATTAAGCGACAGTATGGCTGCAATGGAGGAAATGACACCGTGCCTAGCGCCTTACACTTTATGAGCAATCAAATCTTCGCTATGGCAACCTGGCCAAGCCAATTAAGTTTTTTACGCCTCCAAGAAGATTGATTGGCAGAAAATTAGTTCCAGATTATAGGACTTATCTGCACTGTGGCTGCCCCTCGAGCCATTATGTGGGCCAAATCACAGTGAAAATGCCATGCGCTTCTCAATAAATGTAGAAAGCACGGCGCTATCTCGGAAAATAAGCTTTCTTTATTTTTATTCCTTTTTTGTCTACAACTGTTCATCCTTTTATCATCGATCTTATTGCTAAGGATTATGCAAAGGACAGCCGCGACACTCGACCGCGTCGCGTAGCCCTTTTGCCTTCTAAGTAGTTTCTAATCTTTTTTTCTCATTTCCTCATTCTTGGAGATAGTGAATTGTTTGGTAGGAACCACAGCATCATGGAACGAAAAACTGCTATCCGAGAGAAAATTCGATTTATTCAATTTTCATTCAAATGATATGTATTGAGCAATAAATTATTGATAATCTGTACATATATGGGAAGAGGTCGAATCACATAATCACATATATCAATCGATAATTGGAAAGCATTGATATGATAAAGAAAGGCGTTGTGGACTAGGCAGTTTATGACCGGGGACTGTGCATATGGCGTCTACAAAAGGTTTGTAGCCATATTTCTGAGATAAAATCGATTTGTACGAGATTAGTGGTGGATTCAGAACATGCTGAAGTAAAGTCGAATAGTAAGCAGAGCGCAGAGAAGCAGAGATGGGAAGAAAATCTGTGCTGAAGATGTTTGGCCGTCGCCGATGGAGTCGATTGGCGACAATGTGACCGAGTTGTCTCCTGGAGCTGGTGGAGGAGGTGTTGGCTGAAAAAGGACGGCGTAGATGTCTTTATAATCTGCAAAAAAAGTAGACTGTGGTAAAGCCCGCCCAAAAATGGACGAGTTGACCACGCGCTTCTTTTTTTGCAGGAACGTAGTGGGGTTTCTTACCTTACTGCAAGCGTCAAGAATATTATTTCTCAGATGAATGCATAGTTGATCTTCCCTCTCCGTACAGGTGCATGATTCGAAAGCCTGAATTGGCCCTGCTCTTGAGAGAGTAATTGGCTCGAATCCAAAAGCTTCAAAAGTTACCTGTCCATGAGGAGTAGCCATGGTTTCAGCCAGCAATCCATAACATCTTGCTGAGCACTCGCCTCTGGCCGATTCAGCTTCGCATTCCGACACGAACACACCCCACTTGGAATTGCACTAAATTCTAGGTTTTAGGTGCTGGGTTAATAAGGCCGGGTAACCACGGGTTTTCTTCTCAGTCCATTCATTAGCAATTTATGAATAAACTCAGTACGAAGTTATTACGAAGGCCATAGACGTGAGCAGCTGCCTGACTGAGAAAGTGGAAAGGATAGGAAAAGAAAACGACCGAATGAGCTACAGCTACTGTATAGCAGACCGAGGACGTGTATGCAGGATCAACTGTCCGTTCGAACTCAGTTTCAACTGGATTGTATATAACTCACCACCCCACCCCGTCGAACGGCTCATTTTTAGGGGAAACGTAGGTGAAGTTTCGAGCTTTAGTAACGTTGGAGCTGTGTCTGGTCTCAGAATCAAATACTATAGAAGAGGGAGAGGTCGCGGTGGGATGGCTGGTTGTATTGGGGGGTCGCAAATGTGTATTGGTGGGGGTCGCAACTGGACCCCCTCCAGAGGGGGGGTCGCAAAAATCCCGAAAATGTTCGAACGTGACGGTTGACCCTGCTTGCAACCAAGCTTTGCCACTAGTCAACACTTTAGAGGTGCCGCCTGCTCCCGGAAGATCCGTAGTGGGACCTAATGACCACCGATGAGATCTATTCGGCTTGACTACCCAGGGGAAGAGGCACTAAAACGTTTGCTGAAGCCTCAAGAGCGCACAACCCCAAGTGTTCGCCTCATACCCTCATCATGACGCTAATTACTTACATCCTGCATAGAATTTAGGTCCATGGAAGGCCAGCCACCCTCGGTTTAGTCTCTTTTATCCCCTCGTCCATTGTCCGAACGCCTCAATTTCAGGGCGAGGCTTGTCGCGCCGACCACTCTCGTCCATGCGGCGCGATTTGTTTGATCAGCCATCCATAGCACCTAATGTGAAACACAATCGCTTTCAGAAATCTGACGACCCTGCTACGGCGGCCGAAACACTTTCTTTTCCTGAATACGAGAAAACCGTTTTTCCGATGTGGGAAAGGTTCAGATAGCCCTGCCCAAAACGACTGTGCTGCGCTAGGAAAGGGCGAAAGCTCAGCACAGCCAATTAGCGGAAGCTATTTCATCAGTTGAATTAGTTGAAATCGAGGAAAAAATCGATTTTATTTGGAATTTCGAAAATTCCTCATTGAATCGTTTCAGATTGCGGCAACGCAATGTAAAGTAATTGCAGCAGCAGTCGCCCCAGCAGATCACGTCAGTCTGGTCCGACAGAGTCGAATGTTTATCAGGCGAGGTTGAGCCGTTATTTATTTCCCCAACACACCCCACCAACACACACCCCCCTCCCCCACACGCCCCCCCACCCAACCCAAAACACTCCACCCCCCCCGGGACCCATTGTTTTTTGTCGAAATTCGATATAAGTTACTCTAATCATCGATTGAATAACCTGAAAGATCACCTCGCAGCCATTTTCGCAGACTGCAAATGGACAATGGAGCTTTGGGAGAAATGACATTTCTTTCAGCTCTTCCCTCAGGAATAACACTAACGCATCGATCTGAACTGATTGATTTCGCTTCGATAATTATCTTCCTTTGAACGGCATAAAAACTTCTTCCCATTAAGCCGACGTCAGCGAACTTTTGCACACAAAGCGAAATCGCTAGCGTCGCGGTCGCGTACGGTAACCAATCTCCTCGAGATGCGCCTGGCCGCGACGCGACCGCGGACGCTATCGAATCGCTCGGATCGCAGTCTGACACCGGCCTAATAGTGGAGCATCCGCAGTGTGGTAACTGAATAATTCATAGAGCATTACTCCAGTTTGGGCCAGGTCATCAGTAATCGATTGATAGCATAAAATCCATGTGTTGAAGCGGATTTTTTTCCTAAAATGCCATTTCATATAGGGTGAAGTTTCGTATAATTTATAAGTCCTCCAATTCAATCATGAATTTGTCACTCGAATAACTCAAGCTGAAATCGCATGGTAAAGCTAAAATAGCTATTGCATCATTATTATTCCCAAAGGTGCTGAATGCCTGAAACATAATGAGAATAAAGAATTTGTTGTAATTCAGGCGAATGTTCTCGAGCTCTATTATTCTTCTTTGTCGATATTTGTCCTCGAAAACCAGGTGACACTCCCACAACGTCCGCTGTAAGTACGAATTTACGGTAAAATTAGGCCAATTGGAAAAGGGTGGAGGTGGTCAGTGGAGCAAGGATGAAGAAGAAACCATTGAAACGGCCCGAAACCCGAGAAATGGGACCCCTTCCTTGCCCGTTGATTTGCGCATTGATGCGACTCTCATCGCTGTGCCCTCTTCAACACTACGCTCTCTCTCTGCTATCTAATCACTCGCCGCGTCGAAGATTTGGTGGCGTACGCACCGCCAACGTGGCAAGAGTGAGCTTACTAATCGCTGAGGTCAAATCTTATCCGCTGCCAAACTGCGTCGTCGGTCTAGCACCAGAGAAGGTCCTGTCTTCCAACTATGCACTATCCCCATTCTTACTCTCGTTTTATAGAGACTCCTCCTACAGTTCGATGGTTTGGTTGGTTCAAAATTGAATTTGCAAATTTTTTAAGTAAGGAATACTCATGGATATGGAATTATACCTTGACTGTAGACTTTGATTCGAAGGAATTTTTCGCGAATCAAGAAATGGTTCAGAGTTTGTTAGCTGCTGTTTTTGAGGGCGTAGTTCGCTTTGCGAATGCTTTGCGAAAATGCAGGGCCTACGGACAAATTGTTACCAAGTCGGTTTCGAATTGCAACGCTCTATTATCCGCGTTTTGGCTCCGATTACCCCACCTGGGCACATTTTACCTCAATTTCACACACACCCCCCCCCCTTTAGCGCTCATGGATATTACTGCATATTAATCAGATGTGTTTTAGAGTGTCTAGTTCTTTTGGCCTACGTTCTACCTACTATTTCTTAGTATCGTCATGCAGCAACTGAGAGTAGTACTCACTACTTTTATATTATTTTTATGTCTGCTGTTTTTCTAAGCCCACGTAGAAAAAGATTAAATATAAAGAAAAAAGAAAGAAAAGTTCAAAAAGATCTTCCATCACCGAGAAACGCGTTCTTCGTTTTTCTCATCTAGAGTTTACCTGCTCCCATGAATAAGCCTTCGTATAATATACAAAAATGTAGAAAAATAAAACAAAAATTTTCGTTCCCAATAGTAGAGTTCGGCCGAGTTTGTTCTGATAGACGTTCAACACAGCATTTCGGCATTGTGGTTGGCAAGTGTTTGTCGTGCTGAAACGTCGGGATTAAGCTTGTTGTACCTCAGTGAAAAGGCTAATTCCCACTTGGAAGGAGGATTTCGCCAGTTCGCAGTGATAAATCCTATTAGATTTACGCGAACCTTATGGTCAGTAAGCTTATTAATTTATTTATTTTGTTTATGAAAGTTCCACAAGAATCGCTATACGAAGTCATTTTCGATGGTATAATTGCTGTTGTCAGGTTGCACAGTGACAAAATATTCTGAAAAATAATCAGTTCCCGATATATTATATATTATGCCAGTTTCATTATATTTCGAAATTATGTCGTTCTTGTATAATTAAAAGTGAATTTTGGAAAACTAATACAGTTATAGAATTATTGATATCTTATTTAAATATTATAGATTCCACTAGTAACTTAGATTCGATTGAAACGATCCAGTCTCGATTGTTACCTTTTCAGGATGCGCCACGCATTTGCATGCCCCATTCAGAATGGTCGAATGAACTTTGCTGTTAGAGCTTTAAAAAGGTAGCCGAATATACAAGTCAGGTTACTAATGATGCAAAACGATGTGCGACAGTCTTTCTTGAGTTAACCGATTGCATAAGGGTGGCTGATTCCTTCGCGAGATCCGGTCTGGGGTATGACCCTTGAAGCACCCCCGTGGTAAACGTAGCCACTGTCACTACAACACCTCTTTTCAGAAAGCAGACTTCAGGCTGACGTGCTATTTTTATGCTGTTGTTGCCGCCATATCTGCCCTTTTCATGAACAGAATAACGATCCTTCTTCATAACACATGGCGCTGACTCGTTTTATTTCCATACTATTCATTCAACCTCACTGATGTTTACAGGACACTGAATTATTTTTGTTTGTTTTGTAATCTTTGGTTATTTATGTTTGTGTGTCATGAGGGTTCTGATCAAACCGCGCTACCCTGCATCGTTGTCATTTCATGTGAAGTGGGAGGGGGGGTGCGGTTCGGCTACATTTATACCGTGACTGATCTTGAGATGTAGATAATTAACGTAATAACTTCGTATAGCATACTATATCGCATCCTTTGGGATTCATTGCTATCAAACAGACTAAGAGAAAATCTCAGCTGCTTCAGAAGAGGAATTGCACGGCAAACGAAGTGTACTTTTTGTTTGTATTCGTTGTATGTGCCATACGAGGTTGATAGGTGGAAACGTTTATCGAATCGGCCCGACGTTTCGACAAATCGTCGTTCTCGAAGCCCTTCGGCGATAAGTGACCTTTCACCGTTTATGCCGGACTGCGAGTTGTAGAATAAAGCCTACGTGCGCTCCCAAGCAGGGTCAACCCTACGTTGTTACTAGTAACAACGGGGGGGTCGTACCTGGTTGAGTTTGTAGGAGGGGGGGTCGTACCCGTTTCAGTCGCTTGAAATCACATGTGAGTTTGAGGTGAAACTGAAGTTTTTATGGGTAGGTAGGCTGGGTGAGTTGAGGGGCGCAGGGAAAAATTTGCCGTTTCAGCGTATATGTAAATATAGGTAAAAGCCGGTAAAAGTAGGAGTAAAATGGCGGAGATATAGGGAATTTTTACTGTTTCAGAGTAGCTATATACCCCCCGCTCGACGGCATTTTTGGAGGAAAAAGTGGGCGGAGTTTGGTGGGTTGAGTGGTATCAGAATTAAGTACTATAGAGACGATGATGGTGGTCGAGGTGTCGAAAAGGGGGTCGTATCAAATCCACCTTGGGGAGGGGGGTCGTAAAAAATTTTCAAAAAGTAACAACGATAGGGTTGACCCTGCTCCCAAGTGTTAATGTAATATCGGGAGACAGCGCAGTATGCATTATTTCTAACTGACGAACACCAGCGCGTGGGTCCTGGAAATACGCGCCGCAACACGGCTGGAGCCCTGGATAGTTATATATCATACTTGGTTATGTTCAGTGGAGCTTGTGATGGAACGTCGGAACCCCTAGAGCGGATAGGGTGCTTGGTGGAATAGAAGTGTAAATCTCAAACCGTGAACCACATTCAGGTCTCTGAGGACGACGATTTGTCTAAACGTTAGGCCGATTTAACAAACGTTCCATCTATCAACCTCGTATGGCACATACAACAAATACAAACAAGAACAACTGATGTGGAAGTTACAAAAAGAGTGGCGAGCTGGAGAAGTGTACTTTCTTCTTCGTTTGAGTATGGAACATCAAACAACTCATATTGCCTAGCAACCTTTACAATTTGCGGTCTCATTGACTCGCCTAGCCCCACCCAAAGCATCTGCACGAGAGTACCAAAGCTTATGTCGGAGGCTCACCTTTTGACACTTCTTTAGTGATGGTCCCACACTCAATATTTGATTTCGTGAATTCTTGCTCCCCTTGAGAAAAAGTTTTCTCGAGGAGCGAGCCGATACGAGGATGGGTTTGATTGTTCCCGCGTATCTTCCAACGAGTGGAGTCCATACTTGTGATTTTCATATGGAAGAGGCGTGTATGGGATTTCGACAGTAGAAGAAATATACCAGTGTGGGCGAATATCCGTAAAATTGATTAGGTTGCTGTTTAGAAGCTGATTACATACCTATATTGCGCTTCTCGCTATTCCTTCCCGCTCCTTCGCTCGTCCCTCACGCTTGATATCATTTTTAGAGGGGTAGTGGGGTTGCAGTGTGTCCACCGGAGCAGGTTCAACGGCACTATCGAATCAATCGACCATTGGGGGAATATGAGGCTTCAGGAGGACTGGGGAGGAGTATGGCAAAACCGGGCACAACACGAACTTCGACCTCAGAAGATGATAAAAAGAATAAAGTTGCTAGCCGTTGATAGACCTTTTTTGGGATGCAGCACACATTTTACTTCTGTTTTGTGATTGTAAAGGGCTTTCTGATTGAATGCGATGTGGCCTATACAATGACTTGCGGGGGCCAGCCGATGTCAAGTCAGTGTTTTTATCCTCCCAGACAAGTCTGGTACCAATTGACCGACCCCGGAGGATGGAAGGCTTGGTTGGCCCGGGCGACTCACGACCCAGGATTTGATCCCCGACCGCTCGCGTGGTAAGTAGCGCCACTTGCCACTACACCAATTCCGCCCCTATAAGATGATACTTCTGGATGATTTGACTTCTTCTTCATAAGTCATATCTCGACCTCAGATAGACACCATTGATCTTGGCACACCTGGACGAAGTTTCCCTCAAACAGATAACCATTGGAAAATTACATCCTTTTCACTGACAGGATGATTCCAGTATAGTTTAGCGCCCAAGTAGATGCA